AGTTTACACGCCGTACCACATGTTTCGAATCGACAGGAGTAAAGTTGGACTTATGAATAGGCCTCGGCAAGGTCTGGTAATTTACCCTTTTTATCGGGTAAAAGGGTAAAGGTGTCGACATGCCAAGGGGTAGGGTAAAGGGTCGGGTAAAGGTAGCGCGAAGTGTTACCCGGTAAATACCCTGTTTACCGCTCGCTAAAAGCTCCGTGTCGCAGTCCGTGGCCTCCATTTAAAATTGGAGTAATCGAGAGTATTCTATATGAATAAAACACTCTACCTAGCATTTACCTGTTATAAACCTTGTTCATGTGTAGTAGTACCCCAGTAATTACCCTGTAATCGGGTCATTTGCATGGGGTAAGGGTACAAGGTCGGGTAAAGGTAGGCTCGTTTTTATCTTTTACCTTACCTTGCCGAGACCTACTTATGAACAAATCGACTTACGGACAGACCTCTGTAACCTAACTTGTTCGTAAGTAGAAGAGTTTCTTTGCAATACAGTACACGTTCCGTATTCGTTCTTGCCTTAGTTTGGCTCCGAAACCCATGACCATGTCCTACAAAAAGAATCATAATCAGCCAGTCCATCTCACGATGGATGGCACAAACTGGTATTTTCATTTTCCTATCCGTGCCTTAACAAAACAATGTGTGTGTGTGTGCTACTACTGCAGTCTTTAGAACGTTTCCATGCGTTGAATATATTTGAAGGTCGCGCCGAGTTTGTTGGGGCAAGTAAAACGGGCAGCAAACCATTGTCACCCTCGTATCGGGGCCCTGTTTTATGTCAACACGCCATGCGTACGCGTGCGGCGAGTTCCTGGTTACGAAGTGCAAACATCGGCCGCTGGGGAGACAAAGGCGGCCGGCGGTGTGCGTGGTGGTCACAGCCATTCTGTGCCATGCCAGCCTTAGAATGTGCGCGTGTTCGCCCGTGTGGGGGAGCGGTGGTGAAGTGGTTAGCGCGCTGGCCACCTCACCCCACCACACTCGTGTGCCGTGCCGGCCTTCATAGGTGCTGCTCGCTAACAGCACTTGCTCCCCCATACAGTGTGTTCAGGCCTGATGGGGGAATCTTTATCTTCGTGTGGTTTTTCTTTCTTAATTACTCCATGCAAACACAGGCTGGAAGGAGAGGTGGGATGGGTGCTGTGTGTGTGGGGTGGTGGGGGGTGATTTACGACCGACGGTTAAACAAAACGGGGGTAGGAGCAGTGGCATGGCATGGTTGGCATGGCCCTCTGTGTCCCACTGTCCAGTTTCCTTCCGATTCATTACCTGGGGCCTGGGGAGCGGCAAGTGTGAGTGTGTGTGAGCGTGAGCGGAGCGCCGGGTGGCTAAAGCACAGCAAGTTGGCACAGAAGGGGGCACAGGTGGTGCATCAGCCAGTCATCTCGATCATCTCGGTCAGTCGACCCGTGGCACCTGGGTCTGCCCCGTGACCTCCTGCCAGCGGGCGTTCGACACTTCACGTGGCCTCAAGGTGCACTTGGCCTGGCACAAGCGTCGTGGTGACGTCACCGCCACTTAGTGGCGAATGGCGGTTGTTGTTGTTGTTGTGTGTGTAAGGGGAGCGGTGGCGTCGCGGTTAGCAGCCCGCTGCGCTACGAACCCGGCGGCCCCAGTTCCATTCCCGGCTCACGGCCGAGATCGGTGACGATTATCTGAACCGGTCCTGGGCGCTCCCCTAGGTCGACTCAGCCTCAAATTAGTACCTGGTGCGGTGTGTAAACGTCGCTGTGGAGACAAAGGCAGTCGGTTGTGGTTCTGGCCACCTACCCCCTCTTATGCCATCCTGACCTTCATAGGTGCTCGCTAAAAGCACTTGCCCCAACAGTCTATTCAGCCTCATGGGGATATTTGTCTTTGTGGATGTAAGTGTGTGTGTGTGTATGTATGTGTTTGAGTGTGTGTGTGTGTGAACATGCCTTTTTACCAAGTAATGCTCTATTGATCGTTGCTCTTCAATCAACAAGTGCATTCTGGCTCCCACGGATCAATGGGGCAGCTGCGGAGGCTGATGGGTGCTGGGTGCGAAGGGTTGTGGGAGTGCTGGGTGCGAAGGGGTGATGGGTGATGGAGAGAGATGGGTGATGGGAGAGATGGGTGATGGGAGAGGTAGGTGATGGAGAGGTGGGTGATGGGTGATGAGAGAGATGGGCGATGGGGAGAGATGGGTGCTAGAATAAATGAGTGCTAGGATAGGTGGGTGATGGGAGAGAAAGGGGTGCTGCTGTTAAGTGTTATGACAGTTTAGTAATTTTTCAGCTGTTGGGATGTTTTGGCCGAAAGCGCGTAGCATTGTGTGTTGGTTCACATTGGCGATGGGAGGAGACCGGTGAACCCGGAGAAAACCCTTCCAGGACAGGGTGGGGGGGGGGGGAGAAAATACGAACTCCACACAGAAAGAAGAGACCTCTCTTGCCATGAAGCTCAAGTGTTACCACGACACCGGTAATGAGGAGAGCAATCAGTGACTTCATCAGATAACTCTACTCTACACAGGATCGGAAACAGTCCCGTCCAATATCATAGTCGCCTTCCTGCTAGCCCTGCCTGGTGTAGATAGATCTATTTGAGGAGATTGAGTTCATCTTTCACAGCAATCTGGATTTCCCCCGCATAGCTCACACTATAAATACAGCGGCTGCTATCTGTTCACCCGTGTGGGCCCTGTGTGTTTATATCCTACCCCATGTACACTCATTCATTCGTTCCACTTTGAGCAGGCTAGCAAACTGGTTTTCCCTGAGATTATAGTACAAGGTTCCTATCCCACTTTTTACTTTCCTCCCCACTGGCACTCCGAATAAACCCCAAGGGATGGGAACCGTGAGCCAAAGTGGCAGACCCAACCGCTCTGTAATTTTGTCCGCTCCAAGAGATTTTCCTTTGCGACGGCGTTGTTGTTGTTGTTGGCCGATTCTGGGACCATCAACCTCGTCGCTGCGAAGCCCCGGGGGAGGGAGAGGGCTTCCCGAGCGATGGCCGATGGCTCCGAGTTAATCGCCGGTTGCTCGCCTTGTCCTTCCCCCGCCCCGCGCCTCCGGTGACCACGGTTGTCTACGTACGGTGCCAACAGAAGTTCCACATACACGCGTTCGCTCTGACGTGGCCGTGATGAGTCCGTGGAAAGATAGAAAACCGGACACTCTCCTGGAAAGTAGACCTTGGGGCTCGGCGATGTTTCCCCGGTGAACCGGTGGCGGTCCGCTCATGGAGACGGAGCCATGCCTCCGATGCAGATCTGGCCATAATCTCCAGGTGGTGATCGCACCTCCGATTAGTACGGTTGGCTACGTACAGTGCGATAGATATTCAACATACATACACCGCACCTCCGATTTAGCAAGGTCAGCTACGTACGGTGCGAAAGAAGTTCAACATACGTAGTGCATCGTGGGTGCAGCTTGTGCGAGGGACTTAAAAGGGAAGCGTGAACACAAAGATGCGCTTGCTTGTGTTTATGCCTCTCGGTCATTGCGCTCTCCGCTCTTACCTCATCCAATAACAATTTCTCGGGCGCTGGGTAAATATTTTTCTGTTCACACAGGTGTTGCGCACACAAGGCAGGCGTTGCATTTCCAATGTACCCCCCTCTCCACCTCATTATTCTATATCTCCTCCATTGTGTGGCAGCTAATGAATTCGATATCCGTGTCTAACAGGGCGCTCATTGATATGTTGACTTTTTGAGCTCGGAAGGGTAAAGGAGCGGCCGTGCAATTGCTTGCTTGGGCCGCCGCTAGCGGAAGGAGCCTCCACTGGAGGGAGCTCCAGAGAGCCCCTCTAGAGGGATTTCCAGAGAGCGCCAGAGAGCCCCTCTAGAGGTTATTTGGCCTACTCTTCCACGCTTGCCAGACTTTTGGAATTGCTGGGAGTCCCCTCGCTTTACCCCACCGCACGCGACCTGCCGACGGACTCACTGTGGTGGTGGTGAACCGATGTTTGCTGCTGGGTGGACAGAAGCAATTGGGGGGGGGGGGCATTTAAGAAACTTGTCCCATTGCTTCAACTGGAGCGATGAATGACAAAGCCGAGTGGGGCTGCAGGCCCCTCAGCTGTTGGCGAGCGGTGACGCCAGCGCGCGCACTCACCACGCATGGGCAGCACTGCCCCTGCGTGGCGGTGACGGCGGCCTGCAGCACTCACCACGCATGGGCAGCACTGCCCTTGCGTGGCGGTGACGGTGGCTTGCAGCACTCACCACGCATGGGCAGCACTGCCCCTGTGTGGCGGTGACGGCGGCCTGCAGCACTCACCACGCATGGGCAGCACTGCCCCTGCGTGGCGGTGACGGTGGCTTGCAGCACTCACCACGCATGGGCAGCACTGCCCCTGCGTGGCGGTGATGCCAGCGCGCACTCACCACGCATGGGCAGCACTGCCCCTGCGTGGCGGTGACGCCAGCGCGCGCACTCACCACGCAGGGGCAGCACTGCCCCTGTGTGGCGGTGACGGTGGCTTGCAGCACTCACCACGCATGGGCAGCACTGCCCCTGCGTGGCGGTGACGGCGGCCTGCAGTGGCAGAGGCGACGACCGTCCGCTCCGAGGCCGGGCTGCACGAGTGGAGAAGGGGGGGAGAGGGGGAGTGCTGGATGGTAGCGACTCGGGGGTGGGGTGGGGGATAGGGGAAGATGTCAGCGGGTGGATGAATGAGTGGGCGAGCGGGCGGGGGGGGTGAGCATGAGAGTTGGTTGGCTGGCATGTGACAAGGTGAGCCGGCAGGCGAACATGTGGACGCGTGGGTGTGACCGCGTGAGTGAGTGGATGGTTGGGCAAGTAGGAGAGGTGAGCGGGCGAGTAAGGAAGTGAGCGAGCGGTCGAGTGGGTGGGCAGGCGGGCGTTGGGCGAGCGAGCGAAGTGGGTTGATGACCAAACGCACGTAACCCTCACTCCCCCTCTTTACCGTCTATTTGCCTCGCCCCGATTGCTCGTACTGCTGTGTGTCTGTGTTGTCGAGCTGTCTGCTTACCTGTCCGTCTGCCCGTGGCACAGGTGTACACGGACGGCCGGACACGCCGCAGCGTCTCCTGCCCTGATCTCGGTGAGAGCTTCCCAGAGAATTCCGACTCCACTCCCGATCCGAGTGAGTAGCCCGCTGTGCGCGCTGCGTGCGTGCGTGCATATCGTGTGCGTGTGTGTTTACATTGTGTGTGTACATAGTGTGTGTGTGTACATATCGTGTGTGTGTGTTTACATCCTGTGTATGTGTACACACACCGTGTATGTGTGCACATTGTGTGTGTGTGTGTGTGGACACTGTGTGTGTGTACACCGTGTGTGTGTGTGCACACTGTGTGTGTGTACACTGTGTGTGTACACTGTGTGTGTACTGTGTGTGTGTGTGCACACTGTGTGTGTGTGTGCACACTGTGTGTGTGTGTGCACACTGTGTGTGTGTGTGCACACCGTGTGTGTGTGTGTGCACACTGTGTGTGTGTGTGTGCACACTGTGTGTGTGTGTGCACACTGTGTGTGTGTGTGTGCACACTGTGTGTGTGTGTGTGTGCACACTTTGTGTGTGTGTGCACACTGTGTGTGTGCACACTGTGTGTGTGCACACTGTGTGTGTGTGCACACTGTGTGTGTGTGTATGCACACTGTGTGTGTGTATGCACACTGTGTGTGTATACTGTGTGTGTGTGTGTATGCACACTGTGTGTGTGTATGCACACTGTGTGTGTATACTGTGTGTGTGTGTATACTGTGTGTGTGTGTGTGTATACTGTATGTGTGTGTGTGTGTACACTGTGTGTGTGTACACTGTGTGTGTACCCTGTGTGTGTGTACACTGTGTGTGTGTGTACACCGTGTGTGTGTGTATGCACACCGTGTGTGTGTACCGTGCATGAAGGGACACCACTTTCCGGGTCGCTGGTAGACTGGAGTTGACACTGGGAGTGGTAGCCACAGCTATAGTGGGACGTATACTGGACGTGGTGTGCCGGGCGTGGCCAGAGGAGGTGGCATGTGACTGAAACCAAGCCCCCACTCCTTGATTGAGCCCTGGCAAAAACGCTCAAGGCTACGCACAGATGGATTCAATAATCCGTTCGCTTCACTGCCACCTCCTGGCCACACTCGCAGCCTGGCGTGGTTTGGGAGTTCTGAGAATCTCCGCGTGGTCCACCGACCCTCGCCTCCAGAGCGCCGGATCGTAGCGTGCACCCCGGGTCGCCACGTGTCCTGGCTCGCCGGGGGTCGTCTCCGTGGTGACGGAGGAGGCCGTGGCGGCCGTGCCGGGGAAGGGAACGCTCTCCGTCAACACGGAGACGTTCGCACCTCCCATTAGCAGCACGGTTGGCTGTGTGCGGTGCGAAAGAGGTTCTGCATGCGTACACGCGCGAAAGTCCTGGCGTTCGTCAGCCGCGTAACAACAACAACAACTGCGATGCTCACCAAGACGACGCACTCCCACGTGGCTCTGCCTTCTCGCTCGGAGAGAGATTCTCCGTCTCGCTCCCCACGAGTCACCCCCCCCCCCCACCTCGCGTGCCCCCCATGGACACGCTCTCGTAACGCGATCACCGGAGGAACGGGAGTTTTGACGGCCGTTGGCGTGGACCCCCTCCCCCCCCCCGGTGACCCCTGGCTGAGTCTCAAGTGATCGCTCTGCGACATTTCATTGTTTCTGCCGGTGAACAAAAGACCCCAGCCCTGTAACGCCCTCACCTGACCTGCCCTATATAAATCCCTGAGGATGTTGCGAAGATGTGTGCATGTGTGTGTGTTGCGTGTATATTATTATGTTTTTGTGTGTTCATGGCAGTATGTGTGTGTGTGTGCGTGCGTGCTGCTGTTTGTGTGCATGTGTCTGTGTGGTCGACTCAGTGATTGCGCAATGATTTCCGCACTGCATTGCGAACCTGGCGGCCCGAGTTCGATTCCCGGCCTCCCCTTAGGTTGACTCAGCCTCAAATCAGTACCTGGTACGGTGCGGTAAACATCGTCACTAGGGAGACAAAGGCAGCAGGGGGTGGTGCTGGTTACCCACGTGTGCCGTGCCAGCCTTCATAGGTGCTACTCGCTAACAACACTTGCCCCAAAAGCCTGTTAAGGTTATACGGGGGATCTTTGTATAGCTACACACAGCTTGGTTGTGTCTTTACATGTGTTTGTGAGTGCGTATCCGCGTTCATGTTTGCACACCTGCGTTTTATATCTATGGGTGCAATGTGCGCGCGTGTGCACTGTGTGTGCATGCCCGTACGTATGTGGGCATCTATCCGTGTGTACGTGTGTAAGTGGGGAGCCGCGGCGTAGTGGTTAGCGCACTGCGCTACGAACCCGCTCACGGAAAACAATTCGGCCTTAAACGAGTACCCGAGGTGGATTGTAAATATAACTCGGGAGACAAAGGCGGCCGGGCATGATGCGCTCCACCCACCCGCTCTGTTGTGCCGTGTTGACCTTCGTAGGCGCTCGCGAACAGCACTTGCCCCAACAGTCTCTTATGGATTTACAAGTATGGGGGACCTTTGCTTTTGTGTGTGCCGGTGTGCGCTGTTTCGCGCGCACGTTTGTTTGTGTGTTCACACCTCTCGGCTCCCGCATTTGCACGGTGGTGGCGTGCGCTCGTGGTTGCACGCTCGTGGTTGCGTGCGCGTGGTTGTGCGCAAGTGGTTGTGTGCAAGTGGTTGTGTGCGCCGCGCATGTGGCCACAGCTGTGTGTGCGTGCGCGTGAGCGGGTTTGTTTGTTTACCCCTGTAGCGTGTAAACACCGTGTGCCGTTCATTACGACGGAGGGTGGTGGTTCCGCACCGAGCGGAGCCGGTGCGGTGGGTGTGGGAACCCTGCGGTTGGAGCTCGCGAGCTCTCTCCCATGGGGAGGGAACACGAGTGGGGCTTTTCTTTTGTCGTATTTCTTTCTTGAAGAGCGGTTTAAGCGAGGAGAGACGGCGGCAGGGTGGAAGGGGCAGAGGTCGCAATCAGGTACCCGATACCCGTACCCTACCCAATACGCTACCCAGCTACCCGTACCCGGCTGGGTACGGGTACCCGTTTGCGACCCTGGTGCGGCCGGGTACGGGTAGGCCGTGAGTCACTGGTGAGTCACCGTTTATCACTCATTTTGGGTAGGGTACGAGTACGGGTAGGGAACGGGTACCCGTACTCGGCCGGGTACGGGTACCCGTTCCCTACCCGTGCAACCCTGGTGCGGTTGGGTACGGGTAAGGAATCAAAACCCGTTTGCGACCTCTGGGAAGGGGTGGTGGTGGTGGTGATGAATCCCTTCCGCCAGCGGTGTTACAAGCGAGCGATTGCAGGGCTGCGCCTTTACTTATTTTATCCCCCCCCCCCACTTTCCCCTTGCCCCACGAGGAAGGATGATGTGGTTGGTCAACAATGCCGCACGATAGCCGAGTTGATTTGGCCCCTTGCGGGAGAGTTAAATGGATGAACGTGCCGGCCTCGCCTGGCTCGTTCGTGAATTGTTAACTCCGTATTGGCATTCTCTACCCCCCCCTCCCCCCCGAAACTTCAGGGGGGGTGAGGAGGAGGGGGAGGAGGGATGGGGGGGTGTGCAAGGAATGTGGAGATGGGGAGGTCGGATCCATAGTCACGTGCACACGCTGGCGAACTCGGGAGCATGAGCAGCAATACTCGGAGACCCGTAGAATGCCCCCCACCCACCTACTCGGCGTGAGAGACTCTGGGGGTGCAAGTGCTGTTCGCCAAGCACCTGTAAAGGCTGGTGCCTGTGAACGTATCACCAGTGCAGCGACATCCATTGTTGCGCGCGTACCTCCATTGCTCCCCCGTGTTCATAAGCAGCCGCCGCCCACCCACCCACTTACCAGAGCGGTGAAGTATGCACGGTGTGCGGAGGCCCTCGTTCAGCAGTGGGATGGATGCAAGGGTCGCTGTACAATTGTTAAGTTCGGCACGGCCGCAGGAAAGGGTGGCGTGCCAGGCCAACTTTTTGTCTCCCCAGGACCGATGTTTGTGCACCGCACCAGATACTCAATTAAGGCTGAGTCGACACAAGCACACAACAACAACTGCCGTTCGCCACTGAGTGGCAGTGACATCACCACTTGTGCCAGGCTAGGTGCACTTTGAGGCCGCGTGAAGTGAGGAAGGTGCGCTGACGGGAGGTCACTGAACACAGACCACCGAGGTGCCATGGGCTGACTTGTGCCAACATGCCAACGCACACGCACAGGCACACACACACACAAGCACATAGAGCCACAAATATTAATCTCCTCCTCCATCATCATCATCATCAGCGAGCGCCGGCGATGACGTACACGGGCGGGTCTTGAACCGAGACCCTAATGAAGAGAGACACCGCGCCGATGTAAAAGGTGACTCCCAAATTTTTATGAACCGCGCGGAGGTTGTGTCCATGGGCTGCCTTGCGTTTCGAAGATGAACAGACGTCTCAACTGGCGATCAAAACACTTTGCTGACCCCCGTTCTGTTTATGCGCCATCTAAGCCAGTTGGCCGACCAGACGCAAATAAATACAAACATAACGTCAATAGATTATGAGACACGTACACACGTAAACAAGCACAGACACGCACCCACACAACAACAACAACCGCCATTCGCCACTAAGTGGCGGTGACGTCACCACGACGCTTGTGCCAGGCCATGTGCACCTTGAGGCCACGTGAAGTGTCGAATGCCCAATGGCAGGAGGTCACGGGGCAGACCCAGGTGCCACGGGTCGACTGACCGAGATGACTGGCTGATGCACCACCTGTGCCCCCTACTGTACCAACTTGCTGTGCTTTATCCACCCGGCGCTACGCTCGTTGTTGTGACCGTCGCTCCTCCGCCCTCCGTTGTTGCGTGAGGGCGACTGCCTCCAACTGCCCAGTAGCGTCCTTCACGAGCCTCCTCCACTGAGGCCGATCTTGACACCGCTGGTACCAGTCATCGGCAAGTCCACTCAGCTCCACGTCCTCCTGTACCACATCACTCCATCTCTTCTCTAGCCCGTGCTGCGCCCGTTTAGCCCCCTCGATCTAGCTGAACAAAAGCTGTTTAGGCATACGGTGGCTGGGCATGCGGGCTACATGACCCAGCCAA